TCTTATGTCGCCTATGATACTAATCACTATGCGGCTGCTTGCGGCTGCTTGCGGGGCTTAGGAGCGAGAGTCTGTGTGTGTGTGCCTCAAGGTACAAAGGCAGGAGTTAGTCTCGTAATTTGATCGATGAGCGACCTACTACCACGGTTACTATACCCGATCGCAACCAACAGGGAAAAGAGCCCGTGGCTCACTGGTTACGACCCTGAACTTTTGACTACCAGGTCGTTGCTTCGACCCTCAGATGTTGCAACACCTGAGATGGGGTATGGCTGGCTGATGGCGGCTAATAAGTCAGAACTGGTCATTCCCCTCAACCTTGCCTTTGTAAGTAATGCTATTCCGCGGATATTTTTGTGTAGTCTCCACATTAACGATTCACAGGTGTACAAAATACCTTAGCGTTCACTTCACGGCGATCCTTCAGACGCTGCTCATAGGTTTCTGCCAGACCACGTTCCGACTTCTCAAAGTCCTTCAGCAGCTTGTACTCCTCATACAGCGTCAGGAGGTTTAACTCAGCGCGTTTCAGCAGAAACTGCAGGTGAATTTTCTGATGACGCAGGGCTCGCAAATCAGCATTGAAGCAGCGCACCAAGTGAGCGGCATCAGCTAACAGGAAGTTTCGAGTATACAGGGCCTGTTGTTGCCGCCTCAGCTGGTTGGCATGTTCCAGAGCGGCTGTCCGGGGGAAGCGCCTCGTCCGCTGCGAGGTCATACCCTCCGGATCCTGATCAGTGATCTGAGGCGTGCCATCCTCGCCCTCTTCCCCGGCGTCGTTGCCGCCTTTCTCCTCGTCAGCTTCGTTGGCCTCGGAGTCAGCGGGGATGTTGGTGATGGGCAGAGTGGTTTCTGTCTCAGCGTCTGGTTTGGGTTGCGCTTCTGCCTCTGAAAGATCAATAGCCCTGCTGATGACAACACGCTCGGGCTGCACCTTGAAGTCAAGCCGGAGTCGGTGGATTGAGTGGTCTGTCAGCTCCTCACTGGGATGCAGCGAAGCGACGGAAAGACCGGTAACTTCGGGGCGATGGGGGAAAGGCAGGTGGAGCGTAAAGTAGGTCTCCTCGGTCAGTAGCTTTTCAACCGGCAGCCAGAGTACGCGTCTGCCCTCCTCCATGACAACTGTCATGACTTTGTATGCGTCCGGCCGGTTCATTTCCGCCTCCATAGTCCCAGGCTGCAAACAGTTAAGAACAGATCGATTCAACATTCTTACGGTTTTTAACTTTAAGCACAGTTATTAAGAAGCCTGGTGTTGGTAAGTGGAAGAATAGCAGATACTGTTGTAACTTGTAGTACCAGCGACCAAACGTGTGGCAACAATACTGATATTAACAGTTGTTGTCGTGCTGTTGACAGTATCCTATTGGATCATAAGCGTTAAATTGATGAATGATATGAGCACGCATAACTGACGCCAGATGATTTACTGGAAATAATGGTAAAACGCTTAAAAGGCTGAAATGCCGTAATTTGAGTAATTTTAAGGTCGAGAGTGTTAGGATGGTAGCCTGACCAAAGGCTAGCAACCTTGTCGGCTCTC